AATGTTACTAATATGATTGCGAATGTTTAGATGAATTTATGGATGGACATTTGAAAGAAGGTATCTCCGAAACGGCTGAACGGATCTTCATGAAATTTGGCATAGATGTAGAACATAGTTTGGAAGAACACATAGACTATTAAACTTTTTTTAATTCCATGGGGACGGAGTTGCAGGCGACAGCTAGTATTTTGAATTTTGTTAAACGTATCTTCCCGTTTTCTCCGAAGCGTCTGTCGCGTCTTGCAGCCAAGTGTAAAATAAATGGGATTAAAGGTAGACATGGTAATAGTAGACGAACAAAATCACGCTCAGATGAACGTTAATCAATTATCACTTCAGTAACCTGTCCTACCATACGATGCTCTGCGAATAGAAATATGAAGGGAACTATTTATATACATATTAGCTGTCGCCCGCGTATCCGTCCGCGCGGAGTTAAAGAAAACAATTAGTATAATAGCCTATGTGTTCTCACAGCCTATGCCAAATTTCATCAAGATCAATGTAGTCGTTCTGTAGATACTAACCAACAAACATCTATCCATTTAAACTTTCGCGTTTTATTTATTCGTTATTAAATATTTCTTCTGCTTTATTATTTTCGGGTTAATTAAAAATTTACTCTATAGAAAAAATAACCTGAGAAGTTACTTGATTATAGTATTAACAAACAGTTAAGAGATATTTGGCACATTTCATTTAATTATCATCATCAGCTCACTATACGTCCCCATGGAAGAGCTCGGAGCCTACCCTAAGTTAGGCGTGACTAGGCCATACTTCGAGGTAATAATCTCCTGATTTAATCTGTAAATTTAATGTGTCAAAAATTGCAAATAACAGTACACTGAATAAATCCTTTTTTATTTCATACCTGTCATAACATGGCACATGAATCGTACCTATGCAAATTCGTCAAAGACCAGAACGCGGTAAACGAGTAATAAATTCACTCCCTGACCTCAATATGTCCAAATAAATTAGAACAGAAAGGTATAATAATAACAGAAAATATTCAGAACTAAAAGTGCCTCACTTCTACATTAAGATTAATCTATAGAAAAGGAACAATCAGTAATGGAGCCCGCTTTAACATCTTCGCACGAATCGGCCCGGCTCGCCTGGTGAAATACCACGACCACACAGAAGACAGGCGTCAAGTGGAAGCAATTCCGCGTTTCGTCTGATGAGTGTGTGTCTCGGAGGACTAATTTAGTCCTCTTTCTCTTCCACCCTTTTTATTATAAGGAATGGATGGGAAGTGGAAGTGGATTTTCCGGATGAGAGGATGCATGGAAGGGGAAAATATTTTCTTTCTGTGCATCCTCTCCTCCGTCGATTAAAGGTAGGCAACGCATATGCAATTGCGTATATCCATGGGCAACGGTTACTTCGCCATTTCAGCGATTTCAGGTGGCCGCTCGCTTGTTTGACACCTTATGATATAAAAAAAAAACATATACGTATATACATATAATCGGGAAACATAAAACACTGTTGTCAGGATAGAAAGGTAAAATTTATTTAATAAAAATCAAAAATGAAAAGCTACGGAAAGTAAATTTAATAAACCATTAAATATTAATATACCAGAACAACAATTTAAAATGTAAAAGCTGTGTTTGTTATTTAAGTCTAAATGAATGATTTCTAAAACACAAATCAAAGTTGAAAGTAATCTTACTAATATTATAAATGCGATTGTTTGGATGGATGGATGTATGTTAGAAGATATCTTCAGAAAAGCTGGATAGATTTCCCTGAAATTAATAGCATAGATGTAGAACATATTAGATATAAACAAATATTTTTTTATTAGATTGTAATCATTCATGTAATATGTTGGCTTCCTATTATAAATAAATAAATAAATAAATAAATATAGACTAGAAAGACACATAGGTAATAGTTATTATTTTTCGCGGACGGAATCGCGGGCGACTACTACTATTATAATAATAAGTTTCAAATATATCACAAGAGCAATGTGAATTAGTAACCGCAGTAAGTTACCTTAACGAGTGTTGCGGCGCTTTTAATTAAATTCACCGAACAGTTACATACATCCTGACAAATAAGTTTACACAACTTGTTGAGGAATTTCATTTGTTACTAGGAATAAACTATTTGGTATAAAGTAGGTATTATTGATAATTAAAACCATCACTCCATCTATACATATATAAAATTGGTTTGTCTGTTTGTAATATTGAAATAACCGTTTTTACTACATGTTTATGAATATACATAACATAACATATACGGTACGGTACGGTACGGTACATAGAACAAAATAATATTTTTTACAATTTCTGTCTGTCTGTTTGTTCCGGCTAATCTCTGAAATGGCTCGACCGATTATGACGGGACTTTGATAAGCAGATAGCTGATATAATAAGGAGTAAGTTGGGCTACGTTTATTTTAGAAAAAATGTTTTATTTTAGAGAAATAAGACAAAGACAGTATTTCACACAGACGAAGTCGCGAGCACAACTAATATTAAATACGAATATATTGTTCTAAAATTATCATACGAATTTTATCTTGTTTGTTATAGTCACTGACAGTAATTGACTTACTGTTTCTAAAATATCACATTTCCTAGAATTTACCTTACTTCCTCGAAATCACACAGAAAAATCTTAAAATAAATAACCCAAAAATTGTCATATGTTTATTTCCTTATAAGATGAATATTCGTGTATTAGTCGTGACTTTAACATACTGGCAGTCAAATTATAACTGAAATAGATTCAAAACGATATAAACCACATCAAACTGTTTAGAAATCTGTCACGAAATAAACCTATGTTATTCGCGGTTTAGCGAAATGAAATATTTTCGCGAGAAACGTATACATTGTACTGTACTAACACTTATTCCCTTTGTAGTGCTATACAGTTTCTCTCGACTAACGACCCGAGGGAAAAATCACGTCTGTACTCAAAGTAAAAGAAACACATTCGTACAAGTGTGGAAGATATTCAAAGAAATATTCCAACTACTATTTTAACTGAGTTTATACATGCATTAAATAAGATGAATCTGTAAATAAGATTCTTTATCACTAAGTATAAACGATTCGGATAATACGAAACTTATTTAAAGCATTGAATTTTAATTTATCTGCTCACTATATGTTCCCACTAAGGGGCTCAGAGCCTACCCTAAGTTAGGGGTGACTAGGCCATAGTCGACCAGGCTGGCAGTACTGATTGGTTGACTTCATACATATCTTTTGAATTTCTTCTTAGATATGTTTTCCTTCAGTGTAAGAACGTCGGATAAATGTACATATTTAAATCGAAAAACACATTAGTACATGGAGAGATTTGACCCAGGATGTGCAGATTGTAATCAAACACTTATCCCCTAAGCCATCGACGCTCTATACACTACACATCCAAATGGAATGTTTTAAGCAAAGTGAAGATGCATGCATGTATCATATACACGGTATGTGCGGCAATGAATACATCGTCTAATTCTACAAACAGCGTATACAAAGGATGACGGTTATCCTTGTTTAACTTATTAAATATTTAGCCACTTACTCGTATATTGCGCATACCATGCAAAGCGTCACAAAACAAAATACATACTACAATATCAAAATACTGCAACTCCTTGATATTTATCGCGTTTGTCGCTCATCTAGAGGATATAGGAGGAAAGTGGTCGTATTAAAATTATTATAGGTAGCCCTTTTTGTATCCGAATGACAACAGTTTTCATGCTTACATATGTGTCAGATTAACCGTTACCTAACTCAGAATAATTCATATTTTTACGTAAGACTAATAAAGATTTATAAAAAAACTAGCTGTCGCTCGCGACTTCGTCTGCGCGGGATTAAAAATAGATGTTGGCCGATTCTCAGACATACTCAATATGCTCACAAAATTTCATGAGAATCGGTCAAGCCGTTTCGGAGAAGTATGGGAACGAAAATTGTGACACGAGTATTTTATATATAAGATATAAAAGATCACCGTGGCGATCTTTAGGGGAGGTCTATTCCCGGCTTTGGCTTCATATGGCTGAAGAGAAAGAGAAAAGACAATAAAGACTCAAGAGATTTTGAAGGTTGAGGCTTAATTCGATTCATATTTTTCTGAATGTCACAGTTTTTGGGTTTTCAATTATGTTCTTAGTAATTTATTAAAACTAATTATTGTCTTAATTATCTCTAAAATAGAAAATCATCAATTTACAGACTATTCTTAATGTTGTATTCATAGGCTATTTTTCTTGTGGGCAGGCGACAGCGGTCGTTAATAATGAACCTTACAAAGGTCATTAATAACGTGCACTACAGTACAATTGTAACGTCAAGACGCCTCGTGTACGACGTACAAACAGACCAAACGATAATTACAGTAGAATAATCATGTTACTAATAATAAGTGTAGGCACTAGTGATTTTTGTCTAAACTGTATAGTTGAAAATAAAGTCTGTAGCGAGCTTAAAGAACTTAACTGAATACATACATCCATTGTGAAACTAAGTGAAAGTGATACAATGTGAACAAAGCCGCTTGAAAGTTATAAACGACGGGGCTGTTCAATAATTTTACGCAGATTATAATTTTCTTCAGTCTATACGTTTAAGCTTTAAGAGGCCTATGGAAAAATAATTCTAGACTGTTAATAAAACTGTAAATATTTACAGTGCTTAATATTTTAATATTAACAAGTTAATTAGTTTCATATTTAGAAGATTTTAAGAGAAAAAAAGAGAAGATTTTAAGAAGTAAAGTTAGTAGCTAAGTGTCGAATGCCACTTCGTCCGCGCGGAATTAAAAAAAAACTTAGGCCATGTGTTCTTCCAGATTATGTTCTACATCTATACCAAATTTCAGCACGATCTGTTCAGCCGTGCTGGAGATAACTTCAAACAAACATCCATCCATCTAAACATTCTCATTTATAATATATATAGTGAGAAAGTAATATGTATGAATATTATAATGCAATCAATGTAAATTTGTTTCAGATGGGCCGATCTATGCTTCCTATATTAATACTGACAACGGTAGCTCTCTCTTCGAGCGATGTTCTTCCAATATTATTTAACAAAGACTACATACAACCGTATAATAACAAACAAGACGACAATACATTTAGTGATAGATATGTTACAACCAACGACATATTTCACAGCAAAAGAACATCTCAAGATTATTTAGCTCCTATCAAAGAAATAAACACGATGTACCCTGATACAAGTAACCAAGACGTCAAAGATATCAATGATAATACGAATAAAGAACAAAACTATGATGACGAAGGATTCAGGAAAGAACAGTGGCATAATTATCCAAGACAATTGGATCGACTCCACACTCGATACAAAGAAATAGGAGTCGATAAACTAAAGTCCGAAAAAGACGACGCTGAATCAATGAATAACTTTGATGATTTAACAACTGACGAAATAATATTTGATAATGGAGATGGAAATCGTAATATTTATGACACTATAATAGCGGCAACTAACCCCTTTTTAATTCTGAAAGTACAACTAAGTTACTTACGAGACGATAAAAACGACAAGAATGAAGATTTCAACTATCCACCATTAATTTTTGAAAACAATCAAGAGAAGAACGAAAGGAATTATAATAAAGCTCTTTCTATTCTTTCTGATCCTGACACTAACGTAGTAAAAGTAAAGAGAGAAAAACCTATCAAAAATCATGATAATGAAATTTCCGATGAAGAATTATTTGAAACTGAAAGTGGTAAGTCAATCATTTCAGTTAAAATAAGTCATTTAAGGATGTCAAACTATACATTTAGGTTATATATTAAAACAATATCGACAAGATAAACAAAGATATTGCTAAGCACTAAACATTATGGAAAATATTACACATTATGACACAACTATCAGTTTTAAACATCAAAAAAGGAGGTACATTTTTGTCTTAATGTTTTTTAAACATCTCTAAACGGCAATGTTGTGCATAATTTAACTCATCAAACTAATGATGAACATTAAGTGACATAATCCCTGAACAGGATATAAAAATATCCATAAATAAAGCTATCAATAATATTGCGTGATGACGACAGTAATAGTGTAGCTAATGGAAATTACAGCAAATACATCAAATGGAATCTATCGTTCAATGTGTATATGATCGAACGAAAATTATATCAACGCCGTCTGTAAATTGAATACAATTCAATTGAATATATTCAATACATGAAATTGCAAATAAATTGGCATTCGTATATATTTAAAATCTTGTAACAGCCATAGAGTTTAAAACTATTAAATTAGGTAATGTCATTTCTGAAATAGTATTAAACTCTACATTTTTTTTGTATAACAAGTTAAATAATGAACTAGTGTTATTCTTAATTACCAATTTTACGATATAAGTAAAAAGAAATGAATTTAGATACGACGATTGATAAGAAATAATTAAAAAGTAATACATACTATACAACCCTCTTTAAATAAAAGGGCACTATGATGATTTTTTTTTATATCATATGGTGGCAAACAAGCGGGCGGCTACCTGAAATCGCTGAAATTGGGAAGTGACCGTTGCCCATAGACATACGCAATTGCATATGCGTTGCCTACCTTTAATCGATGGAGGAAAGGATGCACAGAAAGAAAATATTTTTCCTTTCCATGCATCATTATCTCATCCTGAAAGTGCACTTCCACTTACCATCCTTCCCTTATAAAAAAAGGGTGGGAAGAGAAAGAGGGCTAAATTAGGCCTCCGGGATATACACTCATCAGACGAAACGCGGAATTGCTACCACTTCACAATACTGATTGCTAATTATTTACACTAAGGGGTTAATTAAGTGGCTAATTAGTTTAACATTGTAACCTCTTAAAATTTCTCAGGTAACTCCGATAGGCGGACGGTTAAAAAGCGAATATTCTCTCTATGGAGCCGACTACAGAGTCTATCTCACAGGGGACACGAATTGCACCACAGGCGACATCTGCACGCATTCTACGGATCACCGGATACGAATAGAAACGGTATCGTAACCGCACAAACAAGGGCTACGTTTATACGACCACCCGGTTCACCGTTACGATGGGGCTAATGACACAATCATATAAATCTTAATTGTAAACACCCGACACAAAGAAATCAAAAAGTAAATTATGAATGACCTTGAAAGCCATAAAAATCTTCATATATATACATTTTTGAAAAAACAAAGTACCCGATACTTGAGTTGGCACGTCGAACGATAGAGTTGTCTTGTTTCCGATGTGCCAAATTAAATTATGGGTACAATACTTCCGTTGCAAATGTCATGACGGATAAAGTTATTTATATTTCTTTGTGTCGGGTGTTAAAAAGGAACAATAATTCTAACGTTACTCGCTATCCCAATAAATTTAATAAAACAGTACAATAATTTTGACCAATTTCAAAACACTCAATGTAGATCCTAATATTGTTAATTTTAGGCAATAATAAAATAATTCTGAAATTAGTCTTAAAAAAGTATTATTAGTAGAATCTTTGAATTTGGAAAGCGTTTTATTGTATACAGGATGATTTATCGTCCGTTATTAAGAATGAAAAATGTTTTCTGATATTATTTTAAGTCGTAGTAAATAATATCTGTGTTTAAAATGATTGATAATAATTTGTTTTATGAAAAAAGCAATAAAAATAAAACGTAGGAAAGTTATTTTAAGAAACATAACGTACCAATAGATCGTAGATAACCTAACCGACCCAAGAATAATGAATCCCAGCTTCGACATGTAACACGGCATAACCAAATTTAAAATATAATTTTAATTATTACAACGAAAATAAATTTTTTATTTAGCTTTTCATCCAAGGCATCATTTATTTGGATTCAATGGACAAATTTTTCAGTTTATCTTAAGTTTTATTTATAAATAAATGTCATGTTATAATCATAATTCTATTAAATAATCCTCAGTACTATTGCAAAACCTCAATATAGACTGCATAATACTACTTATATTAACATTGATTTTATTCGTTTTTGAAAAACTAAAAAGGTTTGTTAAACTTTTTATTATTTTATTAGATCTTTGACAAATTTACTGTTCGATACCAGATTTCTAAACGCGACCGTTAAATTACTTTTTTATTCATAAAATATTTTATGGCTACAATTAAAAACTCAACTTACTCTTTTTATTCCTTAGTTTCACTTCTGCGATCTATTTTGACGATGTACACATAATATTTGTACACAAACACAACACAAACGTACGAATATCGAAGTGATATTCCAGAATAAATGAATATTATGTATTTGTTCTACTTCTTGTTGTAGGTATATTGTATTTTACTGAAATATATTATATACTTAACGCTTTCCTAATGTCTGGTTAATGTCTTAATAATTAGTGGTATTAATATATTTGCATTAATAGTGACTGTATTATTAGAAGTATTGCAATATATTTTAGAGCATTTTGTCCTAATATGTTATGTAAATAAACGAAATGTATATCAGCATCATAGCGTATTTTTAGTACTACCCACAACGTTTCTATTTTATTGTTAACTAGCTGTCGCCTGCAACTCCGTAATAGTTTCGCGGAATTAAAACTTAATTAGTAGCCTATGTGTACTTCCAGACTATGTTCTACATCTTTTCTAAATTTCAGCGAGATCTATGCAGCCGTTCCGGAAATACCTTCGAACAAACATCTATCTATCAATGCAACTAAACATTTGCATGTGTAATATTAGTAAAATTAAGTTTGAAAAAGCGCCATCTCTTATCAAGACGATACATTACAATGAAAGGACTTGATAAACAAGTTTGGTTTATCATATGTCAGTGACACATGACAGCTACAAAATCATTGTTATAAAATGAATATTTCAATTAATAAGCGTGAATAGTGTAATAAAAATTAATTTTAGTTAAAACTACATTTTTAAAAATAACAATGGTGGTAAGTACTCTTTAATTTATATAGACATAGTATACCCATATCTTATATTTAAACCAAAATATACAAATTAAGATACAAGTTATTAAAGTTGATAAAGATAAAACCTGTCAATCATAAAGTTTAATGTATGATAATAAAACAACTTGGCAGTGTTTTTAGTTTTTAAACCGAATAAAATGCTTTATACAACACATTCTAACCTAACTTTTTAGTTTCATCGACGTTTCTTTTTATTTGATTGACTATATTATCTTATTAAATTAATAACTATAAATGTTTGCACCGCTGAGTAAGGAGATTATCACACCACCTATTATCCTTTCTGTATATTTTACATTTATGAAATAAAAAAAATAATTTAATTAAAAATCTAATATACTTATCATAAGCCTTCGTTTGCTTATTAAAGTTATAAAACTAACAGCCAGTATTTTTTTCGTTTTATATTTTATAAAAAGAATATAAATTATATTTAAAAATATTTAATTATCAATCTTACGAAAGACGGTGCAGCCCTACAACAGCCGACTTGAGTAAGCACAATTGAAAACCGCAAATGGTCAACCGCTAACTTTGTTCGAAAGCATTTTCGTGTCGCACAAAGGCGGTTTCTTCCCGAGAAAATAACGATCTCTCCCATTTATAGATTTTTATACCTCTTTTAAATAAACTTTCTTTAACTGTAAACGTAGACTGTCGTAAAATCAACGAACAGTGGATACTGGTCAATTAAGTAGCAGTAATTTGCAATCAACTAAGACGAATAAAGAAATCAACCCCCTCGATGTGTGCCAAAGGCTAAGTTCTAGTTCTCTTCTTCTTTCCATTCCCGCGTTTTCCATATCAAGAAAAGATGACAACTTGTCAAAATTTGACAGATAGAGAAGCGTATATCACCTGCCCATTGTCCTTTAATGGGCAGGTGATATACGCTTACTCGTTTGTCATTTTATTCTATACAGAAAATTCCATTTGATTTAAATTTCCACCATTATAACAACTAGGCTGAACGAGCTGTATTGTACGCGTACTGGCTATCTTCATGTTCGTGGCGAGTGCGCGCTGCACTATACATCAAGCGTATACCATACGACGAGAAATCTGTAGACATCGTGCGAGAGCAGAACCATCTCACGGACCAGTACCGCGCCATCAACCCCTCGCAAAAGGTTCCCGCACTAGTTATTGGTATGATAATAAAATTGTCTGTTTTTTAGATAGGGAGAGGTATGGTAATTTTTTGACGGGTGTTTCGACAGAAAAAATTCATCATAATCTGCTTACTATACGTCCCACTGAGTAGCTTGGAGCCTACCCTAAGTTAAGGGTGACTAGGCCACGCTAACTCAATACGGGTTGGTACCCTTCACAGATGTTTTCCTTCACTGTAAGAACGTTGGATAAATGTACATATTAAATTGAAAAACACATTGACATGGCTGCATTCGCACCCAGGTCCAGCAGATTACAAAACACAAGCGATTAATGAGACAATTACACCATTGTGTACACGACCTAACTAAGTTAACAGTTTGCGAAACAACGATCCAACGACAGACTTATAACTTTTTTATTTTGTTTTTATTAGCTGGCAATACAGGCTTCATTAGCTTTTGTAACGTCATTGTATAATCATATTTTTATTATTAGTTCTTTATAATTTTACTAATTTAAGTTCAGTGGTTTATTAACATTAAGAGGTATTTATATTCTGGTTTTATTCTGTTTGGTATAAAGAATGTTCTTATTTATTACATTTTTGTGTGTACAACCTTATCGTGTCAATTTATTATGACATCATATTATATTCACAAATAAGTTCTTTGTGCTTCGAAAAACGTGTAAACACGCCCTCAGGGCAAGTAATTCCCTAAGCACGATTACATCACGAATATTAAATCTTTTCAAACAAAAACATCTGAGGACAAAATATCATTTAATGTAAAATGTATGAGAACGAAAATTCTTATTTGGCTTTGAAATTTTTTCGTAAAATACATCCAATAGATATTAAGGTTATTAAATCGCTAAATTCTTACGTTCACATCTCGATAAAAGCCTTTATGTATACCTAAAGATTCGCGTATGCATATGTTCTGGAATTTTCGAACGTTTTGTATCTCATGTTTCTTTCCTTTACCATGAACTTTTGCCCGAATTACGTTCGCTTCCTTGTAACGTGTCAGCTCTTAACTTCGGCAGCATATCGTCAAATGAAAGCACTCTACAAAATCCAATTTTTTCTCCGTCACCGTTCCCCTTCACGGCGATAACTTGAATTGGGAAACCAATCCGATTTAAATTGATTGGAAATTCACAATCACGCCGTGAACTTTGATTTTCGCTTTGAATAACAATGTCGTCTCGGCATTATTGAGTGGGCTATCATTTTGAAGTGTTTGCTGAATCGGTTTCTTTGTTAATACCGCACGCAAAACCCTCTTGTAAATTTCCAGTACTCATTCTATTTAAGAAATTTTAAAGAATTAACCAACTAAGCCAAAGACACTACTATTTCACAATAAAAGGCAGTATGGTGCGTCTTGGACGTCTAATTGTAGTCCTCGTCCACTTCCGAGGATGGGAAGCGAAAGTGGATTTTTGGGATGAGGGGATGCATGGGAAGGGAAAACATTCTCTTTCAGAGCATCCCCTCCTCATTCAGTTGAAGGTAAACAGCGCTTCTACAATCGTGTATGTCTATGGGCAAAGTTAGCTTGATTATTTCGGCGATTTCAAGCGGCAGATCGCTAGTTTTCTATCTTTTGATATAAAAAAGAAACAAAATATCAACCAATATTTTTATCCATTATATTTATACCAGTAGATACTCGTATAAGCACGATGTCATTTATTATTTATCACGTGCAGTAATTAGTGTATAATAAAAGGTTGTCTGGTATTGCGTGATTTAGTATTGCTGACGTCATTGTCGTCATTGACTCACAATGGGCCATAGTTGAAGCGCCTACGGGTCATAATGGGCCATCATCGCATCGCCCGTTATACAATAGTCCATATAAGCGCCACTCTACGTTCATTATTAACAACGTCATTAGCAGTCAAAATTCAACTTATTTAGTAAGTACAAAGTAATTTCTACGCACCTTTATATATTTTTGAATGATGTCTAAAATCACGATAAAAAAAGGGAAACTTGATGAGATTTTGACGGTCTTTTAACATCATCTCCCCTTCTTGCTTTGAAGTAACACTTATTAAAGGAATTTTGTAATATGTTTGCGTCGTTTCCTAGTTAATCACCTATATTTATAAAACTAAAGTATGCTGTCATATCTTTTAGTTAATTAAATTCGTATTATATCGTTTGAAATTCACTGAAAGGTAACCTAAAATATACTTATATTTTTAAATTCCAAAGCCATTTATCATTCAGACAATCGTGTTTGATTTGAATGATCGTCGCCGATACGGCAAATGGATAGGTCAATAACTCCAACGTTTAACGAACACGTCTCCACTTAATGAATCGTAGAAAAAGCCACGCTGAATTGCTCGCTATTTAGGTCACCGATTGTACAATGAATTGTAATAACATTAATTTGTTTAGTTCATGTCTACTTCGTTTATATATTGCTTATGTTGTTTTCTGACAATTCATTATGATAAGACGTAAAGGTTGCGGAAGTATTCTGGATGTGGGTAGCACTGGACCGATATTTGGTGGAGGATCATGGCTAGCAGTTTCCGTCATATGACTAAAAAAAGATAATAAAAAATCAGAAATTTCATAATCACGGTTATTATACATATTTATGATCCTTTCTAATATTAGTATCCATTTAAAAATATCAGATGGAGCAATTATCGTTGAGTCAATGGCGATTCTTCAATATTTAGAAGATACGCGGCCGGATCCAGCATTGACACCTAAAACTCCATTACTAAGAGCTAGGATGACAGAGATATGCGAGGTTTGATTCACTTGTTTTATCTACTTTAATAAGACTTCAAAGTCAAAACAATCCAACTATAGGTTTTATAATTCTGTTTAATTTCAATTAAGAAATTGGTTACACAAACTAATAAAATATATATATATTTTTTTGTAATAAACTTTGAAGAAAATACGTCTTCGTATAATTATAATATTAATGCACAGACTTCTGTTCCTTAGACTATAGTATCGGGGATCCAACCGCTACAAAACATAGGATTAAGAAGTCACTTTGAAAGCAAAGAGAAGTTCCAGTCTTTCACAAAGTACTGGACAGAGCGAGGTCTTAGGACAATCGAGGATCAGCTGCAAACAACCGCAGGCAAATACTGTGTCAAAGACCAGCTGACTATGGCCGACCTGTGTCTAGTGCCACAAGTTTATAATGGTGTAAACAGGTAAATATATATAAATTAGTATTATTTTTTATAATTTAATAAGGTCAAATAAAATCATCTACTACATCTTACTAATATTATAAATGCGAATGTTTAAATCGATGAAAGGATGTTTGTTTGTAGGTTTCTCCGGAACGGCTGCATGGGTCATAGATATAGAGCATAGTGTGGAAGAACACATAGGCTTTATTTTTATTTTTATTACTTATTATTTTTTTTTTAATTTTGCACAGACCGAATCGCGGGATTCAGCTAGACATCTAATTCAACCCGAAATCGTGCACCAAACTGTCGTTAATTATCCTTTACTTTATAGTAAAGCATCTCAATGACTCTCTAATTTGTTTTCTTTACACAAATATCAAATTAAAGATCCAATGATGTGTTTCGAATTACAGAAACAGATGACAATCATCATCCACGCATTAACTGGTTTAAAGCAAGTTTTCTTATGCCCTTAATGGTCTTTCTAATAGTAGATATCTCATATTTAATCGAAAGGTCTCTTTTAAACGCCCACGAGGGCAGTGCCAATAATATTTTACAAAACGTAACTTGTCCTCAACATTACGTCTTGAGAATTCGATTATTCGACACCCTCCAACAATCTTTATGAACGCTACGCAATGTATGTTATTAATATAATAAAGTACTCCATATCCTCGAGGGAAATTTACGAAGGAATTTTATTAATATGCATTAAAAGATATCATGTATCAATTTAAGATATCGGCCAGAAATAACGTCGAAAGCCAGTTACCGAAAATAAAATTTTTACAAGATAAATATTATTTTAGGATTAAATCTATGTTATTTTTATGCTTCAACATATACTATATGTATTTGCTATATCAAATTATTTTTTAGCCGACTTCAAAAAGAAGGAGGTTATCAATTCGTCTGTATTTTTTTTAATGTGTGTTACCGCGTAACTCCGCCCCTGGTGCTCCGATTTTGAATTTTTTTTGATTGAAAGGTTTTTAATATATTATTTCAGGCACGCTCTGGACTTGAATAAATACCCGATACTTCACAAAATCTATAAAACTCTGTTAGAGGAAGACGTTTTTAAGAAAACACATCCAGAGATCGTGAAATCTGAGAAATTAATTAGATTATAAATAAAAATATATACGTATCTTACTTTTCAATGTGTTTTATTTTCAGCAATATTTCATCCTTTTCTATTCAATTTCAACCTTTAACCGGGTATTAAAGGCCAATATATTTATTCTTTTAGTGGAAATCCGGGGTAAATCTTTCTATCATACATCGGATCTTGATGAAATTTTGCACAATAGTAGAATATAGTGTTGAAAAACACATTAACTTATAAAGCTTTTTTTGTGTGGTACTTGCCATTCAATATTCAAAACGATATAAAACAAAAGTCGATCTGTTCCAGTACAAATAGCGAGTTTATGTTTATTCGGCTGGCACAAACTAGATCGTTTTAGGTCCGTTAGTTGGCGTGTCAAGGTTGACCTAGTTTTAGGTAACTACGTGCTTAACATCCTAACGCTTTGTTACTGTAATTGATTCAGCAGGAACGATGGTGCGATGCCAACTAATGATACAAGTTCACCACTTCCACGCAACTTGCGCTCACCCTCTGATAACATTTAACAATTCCGAGCAATTAGCTTCACTAATGGAGTATCTATAAAGGTCAAAATATGTCTATGTAGTGGAGTAGTATGTACGTTCCCTAATACGAAATAAATCAGCTACAGTTTTGTAATTACTATCATCATCAATTCACTATACGACCCCACTGAGCGGCTCGGAGCCTACCCTGAGGTAGGTGTGACTAGGCCATAGTCAACCTCGCTAGCCTACTGCAGGTTGGTTGACTTCACACATATCTCTGAATTCCATCGCAGATGGCAGGCTGCATTACGCTGTTTTCTTTCACAGTTAGAGCGTTAGATATATAGACATATGTAAATCGAAAAACACATTATTTAGTACATGGCGGGATTCGAACCAAAGACCTATAGATTGCAAATCGAATGTCTAACTCCTAAGTCACCCATCATCACTTTAAATCAGTTTTTAAAAAAAGAATAAGCTTGTTTATTCTATTACATTTTTAATTGTATAGATTTTATGTTTATCGGAGACGGAAGTTTTGTGAGCTCATGTTTTTATTTGAAGAAAACAATTTCACAATTCCAAAATTTAATCATAAACGCGCAATAATTTATTTGGAACGGGAGCAATCTCGTCCATGTTCGTAATGAAAACGAATGTGTGGATGACTTGTGTGATGCGTGGAATTAGATACGTCAAGCATTTAGAAATCTGGCGTTGTCAACATTTTCGTTAATTAATTCTAATAACGTTTCGATGATGAATTGAATAGTGGACAATTTAATTTTAGAATATCAAGAATAAAAAAAACTGACTCAAGTTGTTCACATTTTTAAATGGTTCTACAAAATGAACACAAAATTAAAAATTGACAAATTTAATAGTAACTAAAATTTAAAGAAGAGATAGATAGATTTAAGATAGGAGAGAACAGACCAGAGAGACATTATAAAAGGATTTGAACACTAAAGACTTGAAAAATTGTTTGTCACCCATGAGCATTTATTGTTCTTGATTATTTTGACACCAATGCAATCGACATGCTAATTTGCGAAGTGTTCTCTTAGATTGAGTATCTACTCCTCGGCAGTGTGTCGACGTTTCTCAAAGACGGCGACATGTGCCACAAGCTTTTTATCGTCCAGTTGCTGTGAAACAAAACGCAACTTCAGCCTATAACCGACGTCGCATTTGCGACGGACGGGATGGGCCCTACTGTAAATAAAATCCTGCCTAAATATTTATTTAGGCCGCTATGGCTCTTAAGATGAGACGATTCATACTACTATTGTTTTTTATATTCGGCACCGCTAAAGGGGACGGTGAGTGAAAACTGTTTATTCGATTTAAACATCTCTATTTTTGTATTTGTTACGCGTGTTCGTGCATATTAAAAACAATCAATTGTTAGAATTTTTATTTTAGACAGGCTTACTAACTACATAACATAATCAAATTTGCCAACATTTTTTATTAGAAATCTTTTTTTGACTCAATAAATTTTAGTGACTTAGAATTTCAAACAATCTTTCTTTCTTTTCCTACCCACGTCTAGAGAAATATTCTTCCGCATGTGTACCTAAAACTGTCCTCATCAAGAATCACTTTCGCTTTTTATGTGCTTGGTTACTTTTGTTATCGACAGATGATGTAGAATTCTTTGACGTGCTCTCCGTGGTCGGAGATGAGCTGCCCGAGGGCGTATCGCGGGTGGCAGGACGTTGCCAGTCTACCTCCACCAGGCCCGAAGAGTACTCCGCGTTCCGATTAAATGAGAATGCAACTTTACACCAACTGTCTGCTGGAATGTTCTACAACACGTTTCCCGAAGACTTCTCTATTATAGCCACAGTACGACTACCAGGTAAAAAAATATAGAAATACTAACAAAACTTATAGTGATTATAAAATTATAAGCGAAGTAACTATATAAGAAAAGTTTATGAAAGTTTTAATCTTGCGCTGAATATCCAACTACGTCCAGTGTTGCAATGGTAACATTTCGAAACAGGATTAATCAATTGATGCAAACTTATCGGATTTGTTTCAACTCCATTAATTATTCCAAGAACTGGGTCATTGGCAATCCTTTAGAATTAATTAAAGACTTGTGTTTACTCTATGGCATAAGTACTTGGTTATTTTAGGGCAGTAAATTATTATCAGATTGCTCAACGTCCACTCCTATCTATCGACTTCAACAATTACATAGAGGAGAAAAAAAACAGCTTTATGAAAAAAAGAAAAAGTATATTTCTATTTATGCCAGTGTTATCTTAGGGTGTTATAACTTTCAAACCTAGCCAACTTGGTAGTAAAACTTTTGGTCGCACTTTTGGTCACAGTTTTACACTATTAAAATTCTGATTTTTTTATGTATTTGATATATGTAGGCACGGATCAGAATCCACTGTTCGTGTTGTACTCGGACGCGGGTGATGAGCAGCTACAGTTGGTGGTGGGCGAGCTGGTGGAGTTGTACTACGAGGACACGCGTGGCGACCCACCCGACCACGAACTCCTAACCTATCGGGTCAATATCGCTGATGGCAAGTAAGTTGCACTAATTAGATACCTTTTATAGCCTTTAATATAATGGTTAAAATTGTAGTTAAATTATGTGTACGGACATAGTTTAGATATCCTATTATGGTATCAAATATAAGATGTAGATGTTAACTTTTTCGGGCCAATCGGATGCCCTTCCTTAGGGTAACTGTAGTTAGTCTCAGCCGCGGTTGAACCCTTAACAGATAATGTAGATTTAGTTAATTAAAAATATAAATTTACTAAATCAGGTGGCATCGAATTGGTCTAAGCATAAAAGGCGATTCAGCAACTTTATTGGTAGATTGTGAGATAAGAGAATCTCTTCCACTGGACCGAAAGCCAGGCAGTACGTTCAATCTAGCTGGGGCGCTCGTCGTTGGCACACAGGTTACACCGGACCAATACTATGAGGTAAGATTATATATATGTGTATACATGGTGCCGAATTTTGCTTCAGTCAAGCGTTTGTATTGCATATCTTCATATATTCCTGTTGTCTAATGAATCCTAACCTATCTACAGGGTGATATCGAGCTTTTACAATTTGCAAACAAACCGGACGTAGCTTATGATCTCTGTGTTGCCATAGCACCAGACTGTGATGGCTATGGATCACAATATGCAGGATCAGCATCTACAGGCAACTTAAACAGATTCGGCAACACTAATGGAGGTTATACATACACTACAACACCTAATTTGGACATAGTACGACTACCAACTGATGAGGACGATAGAACTATATATGAACCAGTTGAAGAAAATCGATCATTAGATGTAGGGAACGGATCAAATGAACTGTGGTCGATAGCAACAAGGGATCTTTCAACTTCGAAACCTTTTTGGCCTGTACCCAATGCTTATGCACAATATCCAACTTCAACAGATGCTGGTGAGTTATATCTCATAGTTAGGAAGAGGTTCTTCGAGAATTGTTTAATTAAAAGGATATTTTTAATACCATAAATAAAACTTTAATTATTTCCAAATCTACGTTTACTAACTTAAGTAATTAATAATAACGTGTCTTTTACAGATGAAAACAGTATCTTTGGAAGATTTACCGATGTTGATGATTTTAACTCTACACCATTGAATAACATAGACCTCCCGACCGATATTGTTGCAGTAACTACGCCAAGAGTAAGTAAAATCTTAATTTTTCAGAATTAACAAGTAAAGAAATTTCATACTAAGAAGAAGTACATTTTTCAGCCGATACGACAAGATAATTATAATAATTTCTTCATACAAAATGCTACTCTCATTACGACCGAAGCTTCGTACCCTGCGGTAACGACTACAGAAGACTCAGACTGGCTCACTCATCCACCAGAAGTATACGGAGTAAGACTTCAATTTCATTTTAATATAATTTATATAGCGTTGTTATAATTCATCAAATACTTTTTTAATTTAAGCAGGATGACAAAAAATAACTATATCGCCATGGACGCAATGTTTAAGATTAATTTCATTACTTTCGTTGTCCCAGGGTAATTCATCAATTGTCTACGATCCCACCGACAACTACTACGATTATGGTGGGACAGGTGTGTACCTAGGACCCCGTGGTTATCCTGGCCCCCCGGGTCCTCAAGGGCCAAGAGGTCCCAAAGGTGAACCTGGCAGGCCTGGAGCAGAAGGGCAGCAAGGGTTCACCGGACCACCGGGACACGTTTTTGTTGTACCAGTAAGTTTAAAATCTAGTATAATAATGCAACTCAATAAATGTAGTACAACTTTTATCGAAATTTAATTTAATTTACAGCTGCATCAATCAAGTAATGACAAAGGTCCAGACGGTCAAGCAGAAGCACTTCGACAAATGCTTACTCAACACATGGTTGGTTTTATGATATTATTTGTGTATTTTGATATTAGTGAAATTTTTATTAAAAGATAAAAGAGCCAAGTTAGAATAAAAATAGATGTAGCCGTATTGTCATTAAATTTGATTTGTTTTATAATTTAAAGACTGCAATGAGAGGCGTTGACGG